AACGGTATCTATTTTCAAAGTGCTCACTGGGCAATGTTCTGTAACACTGACAACTGATCACACAATACTGCTCTTGTCCTCTTAACGCTGAGGATACAAGAAGAAAGATAAACAAACAGCATTAATGTCAGTGTTTAAGGATGTTGCAACACCACTTCAGATTCCAAACCAAAGCGTGCTGAAATTGATGAATAAATCACTTTTTTGAATTATTATTATTTTGGAATACTGAAAAAAATCTGCCAGCAACTTAAACTGAACACATTTTTATTTCAATTACTGGAATCTTGTCTGTTTATGCTACTCTGTTCCCACACACCAGAAAGGATTTTCCTTTTTATTAAAAACAAAGACTGCACACATTTTAGTCTTCCCCACCCCATATTTCACTTTCACAGGAGACAGCTATACGCTCAGATTTTACATCACCATTATGGTTTAACAGTAAATACTTATTACAGTAACGCTGACCTTAGCCTAATACAAACAAAGCACAAATTATTCATAACGTTAAAATCCCCTCCTCCGCCCTGGATATGGTGATACACATGGATTAATTTATATTGTATCTACTAGCAGCTTTTTCAAACTCATAAGGCTCTGGTAGCCTCTCTGAATGACTGTTTCAGGTCTTCAGCTCCTTCTGCATTAGAAATTAAAACCTCAAAGCCCCCATTAGCAGGATTTGGTAAAGAAGAATTGTGTTTGCTATGGGGAAAAATATCAATTACTCCTGAAAGCAAGACTTGGATCCAATTAAGTCTGAGAAGATGTTTTATTGTTCAGCTGATGCTCAACTGATGCTGTTTAACTGGTAAGGTTCCTCACCACACTAGAGCTCTAATGCCACGGCATTTTTCACAGGTCTGAGCACAGACGGGTATGCCTTTCTGTTAAAGGTATCACAGTCTAAGCACAAACTGGCTGTTAAACACCCTGTAAAGACGTTAAGAAACACCCGAACTACAAACAGTAGCCACCTGTATGAAGGACCCCTCTCTGAAACCCCATCTTCTCCCCCTGGCACGAGCAGGATATGTTGGCACCCTATGAACGCATTACAGAACATCTGCATTAATTTCTTTGTTGGTATGTCCTATTTCAGCAGAGAATACTTCAATGTCAACAGTTCTCCAGGAGCACAGGAACTCATCGTGGCAAGGTTTTTGTACCACCATCTTCTTCTGCCTTCTTCAAAGCTGGCAGCCAACCTTCCTAAGCCACTTTCCCATGTATTGAGCTGACTTTGTAGAAGATGGTAGAGCCTCACTGGCTCAGCACACATTAACACTGCATCAGTCATGAGGCCTAGAGAGGATTTCTGAAAACAAGCGAGAGGGTCACAGTGTTGCCAAGCTATTAGGAAGATGAGATCTCATCACAAAAGTATAACCACCCACTTTGTCAAATTCCATTTATTGATTGCTGTATTGTTTCCTGCTTATGTCTGAAGAGGCCCATAAAAAGATTTCAACAGAGCTGTTAAATGTTTAGGTTAAAAGCTCTGGCTTGCCTAGGAGAAAGTTGAAAAGCCGTAATTCAAATAACTCCTAATTTTAGTAGCAATTGAAAACTTTCATACAGACACCATATACTGCTTGGAACTGTGACATACAACAGCCAGCAGAGAAAGACATACATCAAAGTGGGGTTTGTGGTCACTATTTTTTTTTTTCTGACAGCCAATTTCTTGGGACAAGTGACTGAAGAACCACAGGCCCTGTAAACCTCCTCAAACTATCCAACAAAGCCCTTCTCTGGGCAGCTCTATACATGACATCATTTGTTTACAGAAGGCAAATACCCGACAATTTTAAATAAAACAGGAATCAGCCTGTTGAAAACAGACAGATGTTTGACAGAGTGGCTATTCCTGTGTCTCCACACTAATTCACAGCGTTACACTAGCAGTAGGCCAGCTTCACACGGCCTACAAGATCCTGCTAGAAAGAGATGAAAATGAGACTGCAGTATGTGATGATCTCATTAGCTGGGACTGCTTCCTAAAGAGAATGCTTACAAGCTTCAGAGTGGATCACGTTAAGAGGTATGTTTTATTTCACGCGATTTAACAGGCAATCTCATCACTTCCAGTGCAGTTAAATCCCAGCTCACATATTGCATCTACTACCAAGATCAGGTTGTGTGCAGGTTTTCCACCATTCCAATGTTTTGGCACATGCCTGAGGAACTGCTGACTTTGGAAAGAGCTGGCACAGCAATCGCATACCCAGAATCTTCAAGAAAGCCCAGCAAGAAACTTGGCTGACAGATGCAAGTTTGTTGAGTAGTTTTTAAAAAGGTGAATACATCCAAAACCCAAACAGTAACACTGCTTTTTAAAGAAGCTTATTAGCAAATTCTTTTGATTTTGAAGTCATAAATCAGTGTGATGATGCCTATTTTCCCCCCCAAAGATAAACTAAGGAAGTTTTAACATGCTGAGCCAAGATTTCTTTATTAAAAAAATTAAAATCTTAAATACCACACTATAAGCAAAGAAACACTTCTACTAGAATGCCTCTCCTGACATTTCTGTTCATTTCTGTAGTTCACTGGAAAAATGTTACTGACTTCCTGTGGAACACAAATCGGAGAAAGTTAATTCCATGGAAATCTAGTAAAGAAAAACTCCCTTTACTCTTACAGCCTCTCCTGTTAGGAGATGCACTGTACAAACGCACATCTTCACTAAACACACTGCTAGATCATTTTTATCTCGGTATTAAGAACTAGAAACCCTTATGGATAATCAAGATTCAGACTTCATACACAGCACAGGCTGGCATGCCTCCTGACAACTAAAACCAACACCACATCAGGAAGAAACTTCGTGTGAAGGTAATCTTGTCTGGAACAAGAGTCTGCCCTAAGGGCCTGAACCTCCTCTACCCTACTGGACAAGGCAACAACCCCCAGCAGAACAATAATCATCAAAATGCAACGAAGAGAACAAGTACCCAGAGATTTGAGAGCGCAGTGCCTGAAAACACAAGGTTCAAGCTCCATTGGAAGGCACGTAACTTAAAGGGAAACAAAAATTATCTGGAACCTTTCACAAAAGAGACAGAAATACCTGCTTTTCTGAAGCTGCAGAGTAGACACACTCAACCTTGCTACAGGAACTGACATACAGCCTCAATTTTCTTCAGCTCCACTAGGCAGAAAAACTTAAAAGGAAGACCTTTTAGCTCTATATAATACAGAAGATTCACCTTGTAAGTTCTTCTACCTGTTACCCACCATCCCTAACAGCGCTGTGCTTTAGTTCTGAGAAGCATTTGTCATGTACGTTAACACGCTAAGGGGAAGACCAGGCAATGTGCATTATATGAGGTTAGGCTGAAAAGATCTGAAGAACAGAGGCAGTGTTCTGGTGAGAGGTACTGGATTTATTCCAGAAACTGGAAGAATTATCTGAAGGCTTAAGAAAGGTATTTATTTTGAAAAACAAGTGAGGTAAGTATTTAAAAACTGTTTCACGTTAAGACAATATTTCACTTGCTAACATCAGAGATATACCTCCTCAAAAGTTTATGGTTTTGCAAAGCAGAGATGGCTGTATTTTAGAGAAGAAAAGTCTCATACAAATTTGGAGGACAAAGCGAAACTCAAAGGCTTTTACTGTCCTTCCATTTTAATGAAAATTAGTGCCTAGGCAAAGGGAAAGAATCAAGTGATGGAGAAGCAGGCAATTCTCCCCCTCCCTGCAACCATAATACTTCTTTTCTGGTAACTAGCAGGTTGGAATGCAGTGTGTGGATACCTCTAGACTCGTCATAGCATGTTGTTCTCTCTGTACACTTCTACTGGTTAAGGCACATTACAGGAAGATGAAGTTAGAGAAGATGACGGGATGATAAAATAATAGAAGTTTGAGAGAGAAGAGACAAACTGCAGAAAACCAGAATAAATTTCTGCAGTTCATGAAACAAGTTTGTTCAAGACATTTCTGAAAGAGCTCTGCTTCAAATCAGTAATGAACCTGATTCAACAAATTCATATAGTTATCTACTGTTCTCATGCTGAAAACCTTAGAGATTCTTCCTGTTTTACACACTTAAGCACGATACAGCCCACCTGTGAAAGACTCAAAGACAACAGAAGGTTGCTAAGTTGCAAAAATTCAACAGATGTTTTTCCAAATATTTTTAGACAAATCATATATTTTAATTACGTTTTGAGCTCTAGCAATCAATAACACAGACTACGTTTTCAGAGAGCAAAACATGCACAAAGCCCTGAGCAGTATTAAACCACAGACTATTAACTAGGAACACAGGTTTTTCTTCAAAACTTACTCTATCTTCTATAAAAATCAGCTGAGTATCTGCTTCATTGGGTGCTGGCTGCAAAAATTACAGAAAGTACAAAACTAGAAAATACTCTGGGGCTTTCCACTGGTGGTTTGCTGGCAAAATGAATTATCACTGAACATACCATTTATCCAGTTTTCTTCCTGGCTTTCATTTCACATTAAGGACTGACCATCCCTTTAAAGCTCTCTAATTGTTTGCTGGATAAACCCAGAAACCACAAGCTAACACCAAATGGAGTAATATAATGGAGTTAAAATCAGTTTTTCCACCACGCATGTTGAGAGACAAGATATTTGTTAGAGTGCAGTGTTAGGAAGGGACGTGCTGGTGAGGTTGTTGGCCCTTAGGAATCAGACAGAAGTAATCAGAATCCATGAAATGCTAAGTAATGAAGTGGACATTAAGAAAGTTGTAGTTTTCCATGAATATTTCAATTTGTAGATCGTTTGGGGCTTCCTCAAAAGCTTTTGGGCATGAAAACTGTCCTTCAAGCCTGACATAAACAGCAGCAATTACCTTAACAAAAGGGATGAGCTCCCTACACTAGCAGGGCCACACTTAGATGACAACTCAAGGAAAGTAGACATTTCTAATTACTGCAAACACTCAGTGAGATGCTTGACTGAACAGACTAAGTAATAAAAGCATGTTACAAACAGCCAAGGACTTCACAGAGCTTACCTGTTTCTGTGCCGATGCTCCCATATGCACCTGGCAAAACTTGACTGCCTGTTCAAGTGCTGCTTCTTCATCCACCTGAACACAGAATCACAAGCAATGAAGCAATTACAGAATCACAAGCAATTACTTACATCACCTATAAATCTACTTAAATTCAGGTGAAACGGGGATGTAGAGCATGGGAGTAAGGGGGAGAAGCAGCACTTCTACGGCAAAACAGTGACGTTATTCGGGAGTATATAGTCAAAGACATAAAATGTCTCGATTCAAACTAACATTTAGCATGAATAAACACCACATAATTGGTATTATGGCTTTTAATTGATTTTCAGAAACTTAGTTCCAAAACATGGAGGGTCCTACTTCCCCCACCCCCACCAGAAGTGGTCTTGTCAAGAAAGTGGTTCTTTGGGAGATATTAATCTCCCCAACTTCTGAACAGATGTAGGGAAAATTTCTACTGCTGGCTTTATCAATCATTATTGTTCTATAACCATGTCTGAGGTTACACAGAGAAATTACAGTTAATGATATAACACTTTACCTGTTTAATCAGCATATATGTTTCGGACATGATCTTCTCAATTTTGCCCAGGTCATAGGCCATGACCTTCTGACCTTGCTGCCATACCCGATAAGCATCGAGTAGAAGTGTTTTCCCAGACTCCACGTCCTCAAGTAATTTCCTCTTCCTGCTTGATCTCTGGACAGGTTCTTCTGCAGGTATTGCTTGAACTACTCCTTTAGCTGCCTGCTGCTGATGTTTTGAGCTGATACTTAGCTCTTCCAAAGAAAGTTCTGGAGTCCGGCTCTCTGGAGCTCTCTCCTTTGAGTTCCTGCCAGGCTGAAGTCGCTCTGGCTCGCTGCGTTTACATGAAGAATCAATTTTTTCAGGGTCATTGGAATATCCATCAAGATCCATAGGCTCAACTGAACCAGGCCTAGGGAGCTCCTTAATTTCCTTGTCATTCTTGTCCTCTTGTTCCAATATGTCCATAGCATTGGGAATTTGTCCCTGGGTCACTTCCTTTACTCCATTTTCAGTACTATGTACTACTCCATCTGATAAAACTGGCTTTTTGGGAAGGACATCCTTCCCCTCTTCAGCGCTAGTTTTATTAGAGACGTCCGTGGTCATCCTTCCTGAAGCAAGGTTAGAAGACTTGGAATTCTGATCTTCTGAAACCTTAATAAAAGACGTCATTACAATTAAAGCATTATGAACAGTGAAACCACCACAGAGAAATCAACAGCAAATCAAATCCAGCACAGGCTGGACCAAAGCGGCAATGGGGTTTTTTTCCACACTACTTCAAGTCCCTATTATGGGATCCAACCAAATGAAATCCAAGGTTTTAATGCACAAAATTTTGTTCTAATGTACTGAAACTAAACCCGAATCTCTTTCTTTTGGCAGCTGCAGATCAACCTCAAATTTAAGAATCTTCCCTTTGGTTACTCTTACCTAACTTCTCATTATTACATCAAGAAGTATGCTGAACTCCGCTACAGTATTTTAATTTTTGTAACTTGACTTTGGTGATGGTCCAAAGGCAGAAAACCTCGGTATAATCACCTCTTCTTTCAAGAATTGCTAATGATACAATTCTTACACCTGGATTTATGAAAAAAACTATTTCATGTACAGAGTTCTTCAGGATGTTTTAATTTAATTTGTCAAGCCTATACTCTGTTAACTTGGAAAACCCTTAGGAACAAGTTTTTCCTTGAACACATTTACCAAATAAACTTCCAATTTCCAGATATCTTAACCTGGAAACTGATTAGTCTCTAAATGACTTTTTAAAATTAAATCTAAATTACAAATAGACGTAGTAGCAGGTGCGGTGCTGTCAAAGACTAGCAGTTAAAAATGGCTAGGCATGTAATACTGAGTTTTCTGGGTTTGTTTTGCAAGAGGAATCTTAGTTAAAAGGAAATTTCCAAATCGACCCCACCTGAATATGTAGCTCTTCTTATGCTCCATGTAACCACCATCATTTGAAATTTAAGGGGAAGTCAACCCAAACTTACTGCAATCCATTCTCAACAACTGTATTACTTACAGGATTTCAAAAGTGAAAAACAAGAACGCTGGAAGAAAGCCTTCTGTGTGGCTGCACATAAACCAAAGGTGTAAGAAATAAGCGATAATGATATAGCCCTTCAGCCTCGGAAGATCCAAGGAACGAGTACACTGAACCTAACGAAATCCAATCACTAAATGAAGGACCGTGAAGCGCACTGCTGCCTTACCTGCGTCAGATCGTTCAGAGTGTCCTCCAGCACTTTCACTGTAAGCACAAAGGCTTGTTGGGCCAGAACTTGACGATCTGCATCACGCAAGTACTTCCTGTGTCACACGAAGGTAACAGAAGTTAAGGTAACTGCCAAAAGCTTACACGACTTCAAAGGCATGAACCAGAACTTAAAACAAAACAAAACACCCACAATACAACAATTTTAAATCAAGTTAGAAGAAAGCAAACAAAACATGTTATAGTTCAATATGCAACTGTGTATGTTTTATTTCCCTCCACCTCTCCCCTCCCCACAATCAAAGATGATATGCAAGAAGCAAAAGACAGCGCTCTCTACAAACAGAGGAAGGGGAGAAATGGAAAAAAAACCAAACCCAAAAACCAAACCAAAAAAAACCCCACCACAAACAAAAAAAACCCCAAACCCAGAGCAAAACAAGCAAACAGAATTATATTTTTCTTATATCGAGACTTCGGTGCCCCTCAAATACCAGCTTTTAATTCAATCCTTTTCTTGAAAAAAGAGTATTAGTCACACAAAGCTATCTTGAACTGTCAGGTGATTTCCATGTTCTGGATAAACCGTGCACGCGAGATTAAGGGCATCAGCAAATCCTGTCTTGTTGGTCATTTCAGCTGCCTTTGAACCCACATTTTCTAGCACTAAAACGCTGGTGTGCTAATACCTTTTCTCCTATTCAGTATTATTAAAAAAATAATATTGTATGTGTAAAACATTCACACTATAGCTTCATTTAATTTACTCCAGCACTGTTAACTTCAGTGTCTTCTGACACAATGCTTTAGTCCACTTTCAATGAAAACATTTCCAGCCATCAATCCCACCTGAGTTTAACAGAAAACGGAATTTCTCTTTCAGAACCAGCTGGTTTTAATGAGAGGGCTAAAAATCAATTGTAAATAATTGTAAAGAGTACTATTTCAATCAAAACGCCAACATTTTTAATAAACATATTTTCTCTCTATGGTATTACATTAAATCGATAATTTTATGGTTTGCTATTCAGACAAAAGATACTGAACTAATGAGGAGTCAGGTTTTTGTGTAAAACCTAAAGTTCAGCTACAACACCCTATTTTTACAAGTGTTGTTACAGGCATAAAGCAGACACACCCAGAATATTTGCATTTATAAGTTCCTGTAACGACTGGAGTTCACCGTGGCTGGCACTGGCTGATACAACATGTCCAATTTCTTGTTTGTTAAATTCAGTCTGGACTTATAAATAACATAATATTTTTAGTACAACTGTGGGCTTGCTTAGGACAGAATTTAAACCTTCTATGGTCCAGTACTTCTAATATGCTAAAAGTCAAAGTATTTTTGGCTTCAAGTTTGCTGAACATGTGGTGACATATTCCCAGACATGATCTATGCAAATTCACATGCACTCACAAACGCATGAAGAATCCTTCAACGTTTCCAACTTATTGCCATCAATCATTCCGTTCAGTTTCTCAAGCATCTGCCAGAGACTAATTCCAATGTTTCCCACTCGACAAGCTACTAGAACTTTACCTCAACTGCTTCAATGTTTTCCTTAGATGTTTATTTTGGTCTCCCCACTGATACAAATCTGTATATAGCTCACGTTAAATGGCCTCTTTTTTCTTAAATAAGGTTAATGCAATTAAAATTAGATGACCCCTGAATAGGATAAGCTTTTTAAATAGCATCAGCTGCCAACAGGCACATAAGCATTGTTCAGTCAAGGATTACAGGAAGGCAGGATGCCTGGGCTGTGACCTCCCTCGCTGGACACAGCCCTCCTGCAAGAGCCAGCAGAGCAGTGCAGAAGTCACAATGCTCTGTTCCACCGGTGCATCCCTCCGCACGACAGAAAACCTCTGCAAGTCTGTTAGGGCAGCTGTACGGCTATTCCAAATTTCAAGAGAAATGCAGAGAAAACCTAGACTCCATTATGGAATTGTAATCCTGAGAAAAATTAACCATCATTCCACTATATTCCCAAGGAAATCTGTTTAAAGACTTTTTTTTCCTAAACTAAGAACATCTTTAAATAAAAGCAGTACACAGTGAACAAAACACACCCAAAGCTTTAGAAAGTAATGGATTAACTAAAGGTAACGTACTTTCCCTGATCAGGGGTCCTCTGCAGCATAGATGAGACTTTGAGCAAGGTGGTGTAATCCTTCAGCTGTGACAGCACATTCAGTCGGTTCATATGAGATGCAAAACTGCCCGGGCGGTCGATCTCATCCACGGGGATGCGCCAGATTCCCTGCAGAGAAAGGAAAAGAGGAGAACTCTGAAGAGGGATCCAACTGAAAAGGACAGAAGCCTTAACGTGTGGGACGGGTTCTGCAGCACACTGAATTACACTGAGGGTCAGGGGGACAACGGACACACAAATGCTCCGGTTCTTCCGACAGGGAGATCTGGATTTACAGTCAACAGATTCCTGCCAGTAGGAAAAGAGGGACGCTTGCAGAAGCCACAGCACACCTTGTAAATACACTACTGAACTACTCCCTGAAAAAAGCAAGCGAAGTCTAAATTATACTGTGCCTTTTTCTCAAATGTCTGTGAACACACCTTCCTAAGCCATAGCTCAACCCAAGAAGTAACTTAGAATGAGTTTTCCCGGCCTGAAAGCTGCCACGGCAAGTTTCTATCTTCAAATGACCAGTTACTAAATGTCTTCATGACTTGGTTACTGCCTTGGCATCGTCAGCGTTCACCACGGCGCTAACCAGCCTGAGAGGAAGAATCAGACTCCTCAGCAGTATCCGTTTCCCAGCGGCAGATTCAAATACTGGTGCACACATCCTCAGCCTTCAAATTACATTTCTGGGACAAAGGAATCATTGGGGAGCAAGGCTGGAGCCTGAGAGAAAATGTAATTTAGTTATGGTTAGTCGGCTCAGATTCTGCAACGCCTAGTAAGTCTAAGGAGATTTTTATCAGGTGTTTAACGCAGATGCTGTCAGCACACTAGTCAACCATATCTGACAAAACGCAATGCAAATATACTACCATGCTAGCGCGTGAGCCTGTAACCATTGCGGCCGCTCACAAAAGCTGCCGTTACAGCAGTGCAAAGCCTTCCCTCGTGCTTCCCTCAGTTCTGAGGCTTTGCCTGCAGCAGCTCTTCAAGATGAAAATCCTCTGGTCATGTACACCATTTTGTGACACTGCAGGAAAAGAACAGTCTCACTGGTAGGAGTACCTGACTGAAAACTAATCCCGCTTTCCAAACCTGTGCAAGGAGCAGGTTATACAAATATTTACTCTTTTGTCCTTGTTTAAAGGTCTTGCTTTGGTATTTTTGGCTCTACTTTCAGTGTGAGCAAAATTCTTCAGCACTTCATGTAAGGCGGAAGCAAAGCAAATTATTACTGCAATCCTAAATGACATCTGACCACAAAAGGAGACACGTAACCGGGCTGTCCACGGCTGAGCCTCCCCCTGCACGTCTTCAAAGAACCCACAGCTGTACTCGTAGGATATATAGGAACTTCAGAAAAAACAGTGCACTAATATGGGTGGTTTTAAATAGGAAACAATTACTTCAACCAGATATAATGCACAGACTCTTCTGCCAAATGTTCTTGCTTTTGCTCACGTTCTCTACTCCTACTCGATCACAGAGAAAGCCATTTTCTCCCTTTGCTCCCTGAACCTTTCTTTCAAACTTTTTTGTGTCTCTTTCCTTTTCCAAACAGTACCAAAAACCAGGACTGACCCCTGAGGCACAACCGCTGCTTCCTCCTATCCCCAACTACCAACATCCGCCCTCAGGTACCTGCGGTTTGGCGGCAAAGATCCTATCTGTCCACGCCACTCAGATCTCGTAGGTAACAGTTTCGTAAAAGAGCCCGTACTTCATTTAAACAGAGCAGCCTTTTCTTCCCCAGCACTACACAATGGCTTTCCTTTCAGGCCACAGATGAAACACACATTCTGGAGCTGATATTTTTTGCATCCCTGAATGTATGTAAGCTGGGTTCCTGCCAAATCCTGAAACAACCGAATGCCTCATAATGGCACCACATTGCAACAGCCTACTTCGCCAACGTAAGGCTACAAAACAATTTATGGTCAACTTCGGTACGTGCTGCAGGAATGGAAGACAGCCAACGTGTAGGTTCCTGGTCTTTTTCAGCATTATCTCATCCTTCATCTGAATCAGGCAGGCTCCCCCACTTGGAGGGAGCTTTTGGATACCGAATCTGGAATCAGTTGAAAATACTTCTGCAGCTCCTTCTCACATGTCCCGTGTATACGTGCTACCTCGGAAACTACAGTGCTGCAGTAAAGCCACGTCCAGTGCCAGAAAATTCTAATGGCAGCCCCAAGCCCTCAGCGACAAACGCCTTGGGGCAGAAGCAAAGTTGGGTGTTTTGGGGAATGCTGCTCTTCTGTCTTTCCACAACACGGCACACTGGGACAGCTGAAATGAGAAATTAAAGCTGAAATTAAACACCACTAGAGGTGTTTACTTTATCACTGCGATTACAAAAGAAGGGCTGATTTAAAAGGCAAGTCACTAACTCTTCATGTGCTGACTTGCGGTTTTACAAAGGCAAACCAGCAGGACGTAGGATTACGGCCCTCTGGTACACACCTGCCTGTTGCACACGCAGCCTCGAGCCAAAAGCAGAAACCAACCTGCCCTCAGGAGTCAGAACATCTTCACATTCCACCCACTGCGATTTTACTAAGAAATATGCAAAACACTGATGTTAAAGGGAGTGAAATACATTTATCAGAATGTATTTCATGAGTGACGGTGAATTCTTTTAAAAATAGTGTGATTTGAGTCCAAGACTAAAGAAACAAACAGTCTCACTCAAAACTCTCCCAACTTTAACTAAGCCCATCAGGCACAAATTTTTCCTTCCTAAGTATCAATAACCTTCAGGAAGAATATTTCTGAATTCAGATCATATACTGCAACTTTAAAAAAAACAAACCACAGCTTTACATTCAGCTTTTAAAACAAAACCTAAAAGAGATACAAATGCAAAGCTTGTAATGAAATAGCTGGGGAGGAGACTGGAAAACATTCAGGTTCACTGAAATGAAAGTTCTCCTATCATCATGTGAGAATTCAGACCTGTTAGCAAAGTACCTCCCTTGAAAGCGCACACACTGAGGAGCGCAGATCCTTGTGACAAACGCCTGCCGTTCTCTGAAAGGTTTTCTCACAATCCCCACCACTCAGGCCACCAAAGGATTCCGCGTCCGACGGAGCGCTCCTGTTCGCTGGCCACCGTTCCCGCAGCTGAAAGGTTCTCCTCCCTCCTGCAACAGCCAGCAAAGCTGTTTACACGAAACCAGAGGAAGAAGCGAGACGCTTCCAGCGAGTCCAAAATGCCTCCAAAGACATAAAACACGAAGCTGCTCTCCATGCCTTCCCGGCTAAACAAACACTCTGTAAGAGCCGGGGGCGGAGGAAGCAAGGCTGAGAGAAAAAAACACATCTGGGAGTACATGAAAGTTGTGCGGATAAATTAATACTGAGTTTTACATGAAACTGAGTAACGAAGGCCATGTACCATGCTCCTGGTGACACTCTTTATATGTTTTTCAGCCTAACACTTGCCGCACAACCTGCCCCCGCAGGGGAACGGCAGGCCGGCGGGCGAGCTGAGGAGGACCACGCCGCACGGGATGCGCGAGGACGAGATGCACGGTGCCTTCGAGTGCAGTCACTGAAAATAGAAAGGAAGGAAGTGCTTATTATTCCTCCACGCTGCTTACTCCAGAACTTACGGGAGGGGATTCCCTGGGGTTTAGGAATGCCTCTCTGAGGAGGAAAGGCTGACAGTTCTCACCGAAACCCAGCTTCTCTGGGGATGGCCGCTGCCACGCTGCCGAGCACCGCAAAGCCATTTTCTAGCAGAGATCAGACCCGACTCGCAACGCTCCATGGTTTCCCCTCACAAAATGGAGAAGCGCCAGTCATACTTCAGAGATCCGAGTCACGTTTAAGAAGCAAACACGTAAAAACCCTACTGCTACAAATAGAGACCTCCCATTACTTATGACTCAATTCCCTCCATGGCTTTTTTTTCCCTTTTCTTTTTTCCAAGAGGTCCCAGAAGTGCAAGCTGCACCACAACAAACTCAATCCCACTGCTGCCTTCAAGCGACCGGCGCAAAAACAAACACTTCATTTGTCAGCCTCAGTAACATCCTACTAAGAAGAGCCTTTAGTAAAACCAAATCTAATTTAAATATTATTTTAAGGCTGTTAGAAAACATGACAACACTAACAAACCAACTAATAAAGCTGTGCAGGGACACCACCATTTATACTGCAACAACCTACACGTGTTTTAAATCAAGAGGTTGAACAAGGCACAACTGCATAATCACTGGAAAGCTCACAATGTCCTTTTTTTTTTTTTAAATCTGTTTTAATACAGGGTTACACACAACATACTGAAGCACTACTGACTCTACTCATGTCCTCTCTTCACGGTTACTGAGGTCAACATGAGATCTTGCACTGGGCGCCTGAAACGGGAAGGAATATGGGTCAAGCTGAATAGTTTCAACACGCAGGATTTGAAAACTCACTCTCTTCAGCTAAGAAAGTACAACACAGGCCCTTGAATGCCCCTACCCCCTGCGCACGCATCACTCGATGTGGTGTTTCAGCGCGTTCGCTTTACTCAACTTCCTGCCAGCTCGGAGCATCACCATGAAAACCACTCCCCCTCCCCCATTCAGCACATTACTAAACCACCTCTTCTCATCCATTTTAACACACTCTCATCTCTCATTATTTTACCCTCTCAGCTGCTTTTGGCTTTTCTTCTTTTCTACAGACACTTTATTATATTTCTTCCTCATCTCTCCATTTCACCCACATTGCTACTCAGTAGGTACTGGAACGGCTCCACCTCGGAGAAGAGCAACACGAGTGGGTACAAAAGTGTTAAGAAATGAAAGCAGCTATAGTCAGAATATTAAAATTATTAGTGCAGGCATTTGTGTCATCAACAAAAAAAAAAGCAGCCCCTGCTTTCTGTGAGTAACAGCCAATTTCAGAAACATCTTACAAACTGTTTCAGAGTATTTAAGCAGCACTTCTCTTGTCTCCCACAGTACAGTAACAGATTATGAAAAATAGTATGATAATAAATAAACGGTATTTTTATCAGCCTGGAAATGAAAACAGAAATGAGGCAAAACTGCAGCAACCTACTTCCAGAAAGTCAGAAACAAGCAGGAAGAAAATTCCTGGTCTACAAAGTAATATTGCCTATTTTTTTTTTTTTTAGCCTCTTTTTTTAAATACACTCACTGGGAAGTGAGTAAACAGCATGTCTGCTTTCTGGAAGAACTGTGGAATTCTGCAGCATTATTTTAGCAAGAGAGCAGCACGAAAAACATCGACAAATTAAGATGCTCCACATGCTCTGCTTATCATACGCGGATAAAGAAACGTAATGCAGAGTTTTCACCTTTTATTTTTCTTCAAAATACAATGTATTTTCAGAGCCTTAAATTTCAGATTTTTGGGTTTTAGAACAATCCTTTTACAGCTGACTTGCCCCAAAATTGGTTTTAACCCTAGGAAAGGGACACCCAAGCCACAGCCACCTGGAGAGACTACGGCAGGGAGAGGGAGGCATCTCCTTGCTGCGTGCGCGTTACACAAAACAAACGCCTTGCCAAGATGACGAGGTACGAGTTCAGGTGGAATTAGTGAAACAGAAACTGAGGTCTACAGATAGCCTTTGCAAAACCCTGGGTTTGGCGGTTTGCCAGGCAGAATCTAGAGGGTTTTGTTCACTGGGTCAGGAAGCTTGAGGAGTTTTGACTCAGATGGTTCCCATGTACCATGTGATTTCACAGGGATGTCAACACAAAGGCACAGCGTCTCTTTTTAAAGGGAAATGGTTGATAGACTATCAAAAAAGGAAATAAAGAATCCATTCTGCTCCATGGCTGCTGTGGAACGACAGAGAAGAAAGCGAGGAGCGACAGGCTGTTCTCTAAAACCCGTTCTGACGGTGCAACCCTGTTCAAGCGATGACACCGCTGCATTCCCTCCGGAGCTCTGACACCGTGTGCCTCAGGCAGACAGCACGCGCTTGAAAATCCAGGAAAGAAAGGAGGGAGCACAAGGCACCATTCCCTGGGGGAAAGAATACTGCTGTGCCAGGTTAACACCCACAGCGCTGGTGGACTGTCCTTCCCCAGAGAACTGGAAGAAACAACCCCTCGACGCCCTCCTGCCTGGGCTGCTACAGCAAAGGTGGATTTGAAGACAGAGCTGTGGAACACTGACTACTTTGTTCTTACAGCCAGCATCAGAAGAGGTTCCCGCTTGGACAGCTGGACAATTCCTCAAGCTGGAAGGTCGGTTACTGACAAAAAGATTTTTGGACAAGTTCATGATGTAAATTTACTGTCTTTGCTCCAGAAGTTGCTCTCTTTTACCATCTGTATTTCGGACAAGAGAGACAAAGGGATTGGTTAGGGAGGAAATTAAATTCTCAGCAGTAAATGTCATTCACTGTGTCCTCCAGCCAATCCAGGGTTTAAAGAGGAGAGAAAGAGGCTTGCCAAAGAGATGCAGAAGTCACCCAGAGGTTTAGTCAGGCACTTCTACCTATGCAAAAGAAGACACTGAGAAAGGTGTCTGCTCACCCATGCTGGGATTGCTGATACTGCCTTTGTTATTCAGTCTTTTTTGGGGTACATCTTGGTTTGTGTCCTGTCCCTGTCTGAAAGAGTCTGGAATTCTTTCTTTGGGAGGATACAGAGCACAGAAATCCAAAGGATACAGAATGCTTCTAGACTTTCTAATTAAAAAATACCTTGATGTGGAAACCTGATGAAAGACTATGAAACCCTTATCAGGAGAACTCTTTACCAGGATTTTGCATTTCTTAGGCATTCTCAAGGGCCAGAAACAGGAAGATTTCTTTATCACCAAAATAAATGGTTACCAGGGCACATCTAGAGAGTGACAAGGGGTCTGGGTTTTGCCTAACAGAGAGCTTTTCATTGTCTGAAGATAATTTTTCTGCTTAGGTCTTTTCTACATATCTGCTACAACCAGACTGCCTGGCATCAGATGCAAACGGTACCCAAAGCTAATGAAACAGGCTTGGATCAGTCCATCCATCTGCCTGGAAGTGGGCAGGGTCCTGCATTAGCCCTCTGCAGATGCTAACAAACCCTCTTTTTTCAACAACACATGGGATTTATTTAATCCAACTGCACATGTCTATGATACAGACACACACACCTTAATGATATCACCTAGAAACCTTTTACAGAGGGATGTGGCTCACCTGAGCTGCTACATGCTCTACCTTAGGATGAGCCAGACACTGGAAACATCCTCCTTTGCATGCAGGGAGATAATTAAGTCATAAGAGAGAACAATTCTTAGGGGAGATAAATGCCAACTGGCAGGTCTGCAGGCGGCTCTGGTCCCTGTCAGTGGCACGCTGAGGTAGAGCCTCACTATTCATTCTTACACCTAAAGGATGTGCTGCAGAACCAGGAAGAGAAGTGGGACTACCACAAGGCTGGGAGAAGCTGTCCGTTCCGGAGCTCCAAAGGGCGAGAAGAGCAAGTCTCAGGATCATGGAATTTTTCACCAAGATCCCTACACTTCAGTAACTAAAGGGACTGTCCCCATCTCCCCAGAGCTTACCAAGTGAACAGGTAGTAACACACATGCACTTTAACTGGAATTAGGTCCCATCTGGCAGAGGGAGGGTGACCTCAGCCTAATTTTAAGGAAATCAAAAATTACTTCAGAACGCAGAACTTTCAACTATCCTCTTTGCCAACCTCTGGTAACACCCAGAAGCAGTGAGCCTGGCACAGCCTATTACTGTTATTCTGACAACGCTCCTGCCGTAAATGAATACCAGAACAGTACAGCTAACAAAGCCCAGGCACAGAGAAGGGAGGTTAGAAACACCTAGCCATCTAATGCAAGGACAGAAGAGAAAGTCTGGAGACAAGTCTCACATGTCTCACCCTCCACAAGGTAGCCTTTCCACTCCTCTGGGAATAACACCAGGGAAATGCTTAAATGGAGAAGTTAAACATAAGACAGATGTTAAAAAAGGATGTGCAGAATGATAAAATCTGTGGAATGTCCAAATGGACCAAGGGCAAGTCAGCTGCTACAGGCAAAAGACAACAGATTTTTCAAGTTGAGTGGATGAATGCAGCAAAGGAAAAATGCTAAATCTTACCCACCTGCCTACAGGTACCTAAAGCTGTTTGTCTCCAAACAGCTTACACAGACTCCCCTCCACCATCTAGTGCAGTATACGTGATACTAGAAAGAAAAGGGGGACAAGAACTTGGTAAAATTAAGAGGTATGCTAATTATGGAGATACGGCACATTGCTAATGTAGAATTATGAGATGTTTGGGGATTCTTCATACTCAAACACTGCAGTAAGGGCCTCCTTCTAGTACACCATGGCACCTTTTGCTGTTTCAGTAGCCCTGAAGTATTTCACAGGATTGGAAGCAAGACATTTTAACCTTCTTAAATACCCACGTTCTACATGTAACTTGTTGATTACCCAATACATAAAATCTGATTATCCTTTTAATAGCAAGACAGTCTCCACATGCAAGACAACTGATTTTGAGTACTTTAAACTAGGCTGTCAGAGTGCTAAAAAGTTCTTTTACCAAAATATCCAAATTTGTTTGCCGACAGAAATTGCTCTTCCATCTTAAATCTCTTGCTTTTAAACAAATAAAATGCTTAACTGCCCCACAGTTAACTGCCCCACTCCTGCCCCACAGCTGACACCCAGCATCCCCCTGCACTGACAGCATGGAGAATCTTTCAGCTTTTAGATTCCCTTCTGCGTAATTAACTGCTGCAACACTAT